AGTCCGTGCGTATGGCGCTGTAAATAGAGATTTTTCTCGAGAGTCACAGATTGAGTTGATCCTCATGTCGACCACAGGCTTCTAGTTATTTTTGACATGGAGAAGTTCATCGAATGAAATCTAGGTTCGATTTCGTGGAAGAAAAAATAGATATACCACTGCTGAAAGGTCCTATTGTTAGTGCCCAAGTGTCCAGAAAAGTGTAAATTGCAACCGTTCATCGGCAAGTAGAGGCGCTCAAAAATGTAGAAACTTTTGCTATATTGAAAATTGTACATTTTGCTATATTGAAAATTTTATGACTGTTTCCTTTAAAACGTATTATTCATCGAAAAGTTAAGGTCAGCAGAAAATATTAACATTAAAAAATCCTAGATACAAAAAAAAAAAAAAAAAAAAAAATAAACAAAACTTAATCTTTATGGGTCAAAAATATTGTCAATTTACAAATTATATACCTTACGAAAAAAATTACGATCAAAAGTTCTGATGTATATTCACTAAATGTCCAATTCTTCCATTGCATCATTTTATCACAGAAACACTATCATACCTCATGTAAATTAATTTTGATAGAACATTGTCCTTCGTCATACAAATGTTTTCAGTATAATTCGAAAAAAAATATGTTTAATTTATTAGAGTACTACTTCATATCTAAACCTTTACCAATTTAATATCACTTCCTTATTTCCAATATCACACCGGAAGGACACATAATAGTACATGTTTTCTATTTATATCTCATTCTCGTGCACATTTGAAATTTAACTGTTCCAAAAACTTCTATCATTCAAAACAGTTAAATTTGTATTTTGTTGTCAGTAGAAAAAAAGATAGATCCAATTATCAAATTTGAAAATTATCTGTTTATGAGGTCATTGAAAAATACTTAAAATATGTCGCCCTTAATCAAAAGCTGCTGAAAAAAGTTTAAAATCAACAAATTCTCATACTGTTAAGAAACATTTATGTTGTTGATCTATGCTTTTTTTATTTGAATTTTAGACTCAAAAATTGTGTTTCATCATTTTTAACATATTGTGTCATATTTCTATTAATGTAACAACAGAAACCTAACAGCATGGCAATTTACTTCCTCTAACAAAACTCTAGCTCTTTTAAAGTATTAATACAACTTATCCATCGTTTGCCGAAAAAGCTCAAGGAAGAAAATAATTTTCAAACGTTTCATTTTATGCACTGCGTAACTGTTTTCACTCTCTATGTATTATAACTGTAAAGGCAAGAAAAATCTTCCAAGACCTTACTTTTGGTTTTAATAAGATTTTTAAGGATAATTATTCCTTGCAATTCTTCCTTCCGTTTATCATCCATTGAAATATCATACATAAACCTTTGACATTTTTAGAAACAAACACAACAATATTTTGATATATTTTACTGTTTTAGCATGTTTCTTTTCAACTTTGTTGCAATTTTAATTAGCCCAGTGACAACATGATACTGGTATACTCTTTGGCCTTTTTAATAAAAATTCGATCTAGTCATCTTCATCTGATTTATGTGTGATGTAACACAACATATTCAACATATGAAAACACCGATGTTACCATCAATAATTTTAGATCACGTGAGTCACTCAGGTGACCAATTGTTATCTGTTTTTGTCGTTCGTCGTTAATCGGTCGTAAACTTCTGAACAATTTCAGCTTCTTCTATGCAGCCCTAAACCAATTTAAACCAACTTTGGCATGAAGCATTCGTGAGTAAAAGGGAACAAAAGTTTTTAATTTATGGTCTTAGAGGCCAAAAACAGCTAAAATTAATGCAATCTATAAAAATCTTCTTTACTCCTGGACATCAGGCAGTCAAACTCTCGGCATAATCGTATAAAACATCGAGTCCTCTGACAACATTGATCCTTTTGCAAATTACGCAAGACATAATATTATTTAGTTGAAAACAGTTTCATTTATTACGAAATGACAATACATCATACAATACATAAATCTGGATTTAAAAAAAAATCTGGTTATCCCTGTAAGTTTTGAAAAATTAAAAAACAAACTCTCATCTCTCGGATAGGTGTGAAACTAACCCTAAAGTGTGTAGGCCTAACAACTATATAGAAATCTAGATATCTTGGGTGGCTGCAATACTAACCCTAATAACTCGACTAGTGTGCGAGAACTAACCCTAAATCAAAGCAATTAAAAGGACTAACTAACCCTAATCAGTTGAGTGGTGTGCGAGGTCTTTTAACAGTACTTGGGCCTACACTTTTTCTCTGCCATATAAATGATCTTCCTGATGCAGTAAAATTTTCAGTTAGGCTCTTTGCCGACGATTCTTTTGTACAGGGAAATTAAATCGTCTTAAGATCAAGAGCTGGAGCAGTGGGCATCAGACTGAGGTATGAGATTCAAAGCAAAGAAATGCTATATATTAAGTATATGTAAAAAGATAAACAGCCAATACACCCTTGAGAACCACACCCTAGAACAAGTGGCATCAAACCCCTACTTAGTACTCCAAATACAAGAAGACCTAAATTGGAAAGAACATATAAGCATCATCTCAAACAAAGCCAATTCCACCTTAGGCTTCCTAAGAAGGAACTTACAACATTGTCCAAGGGAATGTAGAAAGATTGCATATATAGCACTGGTAAGATCCATAATGGAGTATGGAGCTGTAATCTGGGACCTATACACCAAACAAGAAACAACAAAAGTAGAATCCATACAAAGAAGAGGTGCGAGATTCATAACAAAAGATTATAAATCAAGGGAAGAGGGCACAATGACAAAGATGCTCAAAGAACTTGACCTTCCCTTATTAGAAACCAGACGCCAACAACAACGTCTTTTTCTATAAAGTGGTTGAGGGGCAGATACCAGCCATTACACCCGATCAATACATAAGATTCCAAAAGCAGAAAAGAAACATCAAACCCAAAATGTACAAGGAGTAGAAATACCAGACGCAAAGACAGATCAATTCAAGAACTCGTTCTTTGTGCGCACTGCGATATTGTGGAACCATCTGGAAGAAGAAGTCGTCAGCGCTCCTAAGCATGAAAGCTTTAAAACAGCGCTTAAACATCAGCGCGAGGAAACGCAAACGCGCCCTTTCTTCCGTCACATTAAGGCCCTACGTTACTTTGATGTACCAATACAGATACAGATAGATACAGATCCTAATATCTCTGAAATATGTAAGCAATACGCAAAAATAAATAAATAAATAAAATAAATAAATAAATAAATAAAAGCGTATGCAAGGATAAATTCGGAAATGATGGCATTTGATTGCATGAAAATGGCGTCAAGAATTGGCATCAAATTATTGTGACGTCATAAACATTGATTGTTTCTCCACACCATTGGACTTTGGCGTGTCAGACCATCGTACTTTAGCGCAGCGTGTCTCATAGGAAACGAGCCATCGGACTTTGGCCTGACCATCGTACTTTGGCGTCCGTACCGACAAAAAACCATCGGGATTTGGCGCAGACCATCGGGTTTGGCGAGACCATCGGACTTTGGCGTCACCATCAGACCTTGGAGTCTTACACATATACTGAACATTTACAAATGAATTTTAAAAACAACAAAGAACAAGATGTATTTGTGAAACACTATGCACCCGATGGCAAATAAATTCGGAAAAGCTATTTTTAACATATAGGTAACAGTCAAGGTCACAAGGTCATTGAGCTTGGCGTCATTTGAAAGAACTTAGTTGGTGGAGAATGCATACACGTACCAAATATGAAGTCTCAATCTCTCATGGTATAAAAGTTATGGTGAAGGGTCAAAAAAGCTATATTTAGCATATATGTCACAGTCAAGGTCAAAAGGTCATTGACCTTTGTGTCATTTGAAAGAACTTTATAAGTGGAGAAAGCATACCAAAAATAAGGTCTCTATCCTTCATGGTTCAAAAGTTATTTTAAAGGTTAAAGTTTGCATACAAAAAAAGATATTTTAGCACATATGTCACAGTCAAGGTCGCAAGGTCATTGACCTTTGTGTCATTTGAAAGGGTTTTAGTAGTGGAATATGCATACCAGATATGAAGTCTCTGTCTTTCATGGTTCAAAAGTTATGGCGAAGGTTAAAGTTTTCCAACAAAAAGCTATTTTTAGAAGGTATGTCACAGGCAAGGTCACAAGGTCATTGACCTTGGTGTCATTTGAAAGAGCTTAATTTGTGGAATATGCATACCAAATATAAGGTCTCTATCTTTCATGGTTCAAAAGGTTATGGCGAAGGTTAAAGTTTGCAGACAAACAGACAAACAAACAACAGACAAACAGACAAACAGACACACAGGACAAAAACAATGTACACCCTGGTGTGCCTCGGATCTATCGATCCCGGCGCATAAAAATTATTATTAACTAATCCTGAGGTGGCCTTATATACACTGTACACGTTTTAAGCAAATGATTGATAATCTTATCCTAACAATAGCAATAGATAAAATGATGCTAGTTCTCTCATACATGTACCTAAAAGATAGAATTACCGAGACGGGTCACCGGTTTACAGAAAAATAGATACAAAGTGAAGATTTACAATACTAAATAAATTACAAGTAACTTAACTGCAAATAATTCTACTATGATATGTTTCATTTCATTATTAAACATCAAGAAGAAATAACGTCTTAGAAAATGACACAAAATTGTTAATCTTAATACATCTCGAGATTTGTTTTCAGTCGATAAAGTCATAAATTAATTCACATTTTATTCTGATTTTTTAAAAACTTTTTCATCATTTTTTTTTCAACTCAGGTGCCATATTCAGTAAAACAGCATTTCAGAAATTTTGATAATTAAAAAGAAAAGTCTCAACTATTAACTATTTTTTCTTGTTTTAATTGAAATACTTCTTGTATTGTTTTGATACTTCAGCTCACCAAAATGAAAAAAACCAATAAAACAAAATATTCTACCATCTTATGAAGCAGATCGATAAGCTTCTTTGGATTGTATTTTGCCTGGTTTTAAACGAAACAAGTATGCTTTAATCATTTTTTATATTATGTGGAAGTAAATAATCGTCAGTGGGATCACACATTTCAGTATAAACATGTGGAAGATCTTTCATATTCTGTACAGAATCAGGTTCTCCTGGCTCCCCGTCTTCATTTTTCTGCAGAGAATCGTATGCATTTTGTTTAGAAGCAGTTTGGTCAGTAATATTCGCAGCGTGGAAGTAAACACTTGGCTGGTGCTTAAAGGAGCTATGAAAAACAAACATAGGAAGTAAGACATTAATACATGTAGTTATTAATTTTGTAAACTGTTCATGTATAATGAAATAGAAAATAGTAATTTTGGATAGAAATGTTAAAATTCAGATAAAATATATGCTATGCATTGCGTTATTTAATATTTCTCGTTAGACGAATAAAATGAGGATATATTTTGACAGCTGAAAGCAATCCGTTTTATGGCTTCATTCTTTCCATAATCATCTCATAACTTAAAACACCATGTCTCATTCCCCCTTCAATGAATAAAAAGCCTGTATAACAAAAGCTGTGTGTTTCCGTCGTTATGACTTTTAATAATTCGATCGTTTAAAATACTCAAAAATATCATTAACAATGCTATTAATATACATGTATACAATGTAATATGTAAGAATTCCTTCCTTATGACTTCTAATCTTTTTCTCACATACAATATATCATACATGTACATCATATACCTTCTCATGACCTTTTCACTCTTAAAATTAACATCTAGCTATTAATGTTCAGTTTTGAACTTCGGGGCTAAATTGCAATTATATTAAAATGAGAGAATATCATTTTGAAATATACTCCACACTTAATATGAATATCTTTATTATTGTCTTTATCTTAAAAATCATTTTTAATTTCTCTGATTTAAATGTTTTAATCATTATTCTTTTAAACGGAAAATATCTAATGTTGATAATTTCCTGATTGACCCATAATGAAAATAAAATGAGGTTGATTTTCAAATAAAGCGATTTATGTTAAAAATTTCATGTATGTATTTTTGTGGATGTCTATGTGATTATCTTTTGAGTGGTGCTTCAACCCTTTGGGTTGATGGCGCTTTTTATGTACCACTTTTGTTTCCAATAAAGTTTGATGTTGTATTTTACCGCATTATCACATCTGTATGTTGTAACAATATTGTGGCAGGGAGACCACTGTTTTGTAATCATTTATTGAACTGCATTTCTGGTCAAGCTTTTCATGATTCTGGTATGTCTCCCTGCCAAATTCTTTGGTAGTGTTTTTTTTAAATGGATTTCATTTTTCGTCATTTAAATAAATGACCAGATTTTTACATGTTATGATTTTTGGAAACAAACAGAGCTGCTATGTTGCCTTGGTCTGCCAGTAAATCTTTTACATAAAATAAGGTTTATTTTCAAATAAAGCGATTCATGTTAAAAATGTCATGTATGTATTTTAGTGGCTATTGTCCTATTGATTCTGTGAAAATTTCATTAATTTTTAAATATAAGAAATGTGAGAAGAATCCTACCTTAAGTATGTAGGTATGAGCAATATTATTCTATAAATAACTATTATGATTGCCATGGTAACACAGTGTAACCAAGCAAAATCAGTAAGTAAGATTGGGTTAATGCTACTGTCTTGAAGGAAAACATGAAAATTCAAGACTGGAAAATATGCATTCTGTTAACCTTGCAACACCAACACCATAAGAAAAGTTAGGATTAATTGCTATGTTGAGGTGATACCATGGTAACAACGTACCAGTTGTTCAAAGTTTTTTTGGCTGCGTTAAAAATTAAATTGCCATTAAATCAAGAAACATATCATATGACTCACCTTGAATAGTAAAGTTGAATTTCATATAAAATTTTATGAGGATATCATCACTGTTGCTATGGTTACCAAGAAGGGAAAATGTTCGCTTTTGTAATTTTTAAATCAATTTAAACCCTGTGTTCAAGCTTCTTTCACCCAGTAAGAGATTGGATGGTAGTCAAAATTAAAAGTCAGTTTAGCCATTTATAAATATCAATCATACAAGTTTTGGGAATCTACATTTAAGGAGACGTATTCAAGGCAACAAAATATTTTTTTCAGATTTTTAAGCATATATTGTTTGCTTATTTCCATAACAACGCATTATTTAAAGAATCTGATCTGATTTTTTTTAATTCGGCAAAATTAAGACCACAACAAAACCTTTAAAAAATGATCATCAGTTATAAGGAAATATGCATTTTTTTTTCTAAAAGATGGGATCAGATTTAAACGTACAAAGAGTACATTTGAAGGCTCTCTATCATGTAAAAACCTTGGCAACCTTTGCAAACAAAAATGAAAAATCGTAATTTGGAGTTTTGAGTTGATATGGTATGTGATACAGATTTTGCCATGTATTATTCTCTATATATTATGAAGAATTTTAAAGCAGAGAAAGGTGACAATTGAAATAAATGTGAAAAAATGAAGAAAAAAAAAAGAAAATCAAATCATTGCAAGAAAAAGTGTTCAAAATTAAAGCAAATTAAATGAGCATACCACTTCTTGAAGATAATATACCCAAAGAGCATTCCAACAAGAACCAATCCAATAGCTATCAAAATCATCCACAAAGTAACATAATGTTTATCTTCTGTGACTGAAATGGTTGTAGATTCTATAATGGTATAAAAAGGTACATTGTAAGAAAGAAATCAGTATTAATTCTGTATTGATAAATAAGGACCTGCACTGAACAAGATATTACCTAGGAAGCCCGAGTTCTGAATGCATCCATATATCTTGTTACACGTCTCCGAAGAACAGTAACATTTCTCGTGGCAAAATAACCCATAATATCCCTTAGGACAAGCGTACTCACAGTTGTGACCATACGATCCAGGAAAGCAAACTTAATTAAAAATAAGTTTTAAACACAGATATGAAATATTGAGAATCTTTCAATATTTTCATCTTAATTTTGAGTATAATAAATCATTGCCAAAATATAATTAATCCAACAAGATAACAATAACGCTATATTATTAATAACGTGTACTACGAGGACTTATAATGCATTATAACATTTTGTACAAGTTTATTTTTCAGTTAAGCTTCAATATTCTATAAATGATGGTGATCAATTAGTCTGGTCCTGATTTTTAAAAAGAAGCTAGAAATAACTACTAACGGCAAATAATTATTATTTGGTCCAGCATAGTTTTTTAACCTAATTCGAGTATGCTAAATCCGAAAAAATATGCTGGCCTTCATGAAAATGGCGTTCAAGAGGTCAAAATGGCGATTCAAAATGGCGGACATCAAATTTTTCTAATTTTCTCTTAATGCCGTTCAAAATGGAGAAATAATGAAGGAATTTCTCACTGAGTGTAATAAAACGATAAAAAATATAATAGAATTATAACATTATTAGTTTAACTCAGAAAATTTAGTCGTTTCTACACTTAATTCGAATTTTCTCTGATTTATTTGTCTATTGTATCTATATTCTTCTTTGTTCAGGATTTTACAGTTGCAAATATCCATACACTGCAGATTTGTATTTTTTCCCCTCTACATCACACTTTTCTACAACTGAATGATGGTGCAGCTGTAAGTTAAAAGTCAAAATGGCGGACATTCATTTCTTTTTCAAATTATTTCTTAATTTCGTTTACATAGGAAAAAGGATTTGTGAACATCTTACTGAGCGTAATACAACCATATAAAATGACAATAGAACACTAATATTATCACTTTAATTCGGAAAATTTAGTCGTTTAAATTTGAAATGTGTTAATTAGCTCAAAATGGCAATTAAAATGACGTCTTATCCACTCGAATTTCGTAAAATACCCAAACTGCTGAATTCTGATTCGTTTTGCAGAAAATAAATTTCAGGTTTTTGTTATTCATGAAATAATGTTCAAATATGCAATTAAAGTTGGAGATATTTTTGTTAATGACTTAGGATTTTATAACACGTATTTTTGTTTAATTACTTCTATTATTAAGATAATTTTTTGACGACATTTTACCTATTATCTATCTCTCCATTCTTCTTCATATAAAAAGTTCATAATATCATACACCAATTGCTATTTTGAGGACAATATGAAAGTTAAGTTACCCAAAGAGTAGTATTCCCCGAGCATGAAGGAGTAAACATTGTAGTTCGAGGGTTGCTAAATCATATCAGTTGTTGGCAATTCTTGATCTATTAATTTTTTTTATAGTCCAGTGTAGAAAAAAAAATAAATGTTAATGTTCATGTGGAAGGTCTAGTGCAACATAACTTATGATTTTTAAAATGATGGACCACGACCATTTAGAGGGCTAGTAATTGTTACATTATATAAATCTGAATATACTATAATATCCAAATATAAACATATTTATTAAGAATTATCAGATTAGTATAATATACGCAAACCATAAATTTTCTTGATTGTCCAGCTCTAATTCTGTGTCCCTACATTTGCATTTTGTTATTTTCAGTCAAAATTTCAACTGCATTCTCACATATTTTATGTTGTGAACGGATTATTTTGCATTGAACAGTGTATATATATTTTTTTAAAAATTGAAATTTACAAAATCTGAAAGAAGAAAATGTTTGTGTTCAATCCCTCCTCGATTCTTGATACAGCCTTACACTACCCTAACAAAGAAGTGTGGATCAAGCTGCCTTGTAAAGTTTTTGGATTGTTCAAGAAAATTTTGTTGTCAAGAGAAGTTTTGACTAGATCGAAGTCAAAAATGGCTTAGGCCTATTGATACGAAAGCTTGTAAGTGATAGGAATCACGAGGAATCTGCAGGCCTCTTAAATTGCATAATTATACAACTCTTCTTACCAAAAATATGCACACAATGTGATTCCAGATGAGAAAGTCTGAGAATTTTCTTGCTAATAGAATGCCCTTTCTACCCTAAAAGACAACAAATATATACGCTGTCACGAAATAAAGAGCTATACATGTCTTGAATATCAGAGATTTTTTTATACTCCCCCCCCCCCGCGAAAAGCGGGAAGGTATAGAGTAATCGGTATGTACGTCCGTCTGTTACGCTTTGGGGTACCCATCTCTTATCCGCAACTCCTCTCATACCACTGAATGAAATTTGATGAAACTTTCACAGAATCTTTCTTACAAATTGCCATTGTGCACGTCTAATTTTACTTTTTGATCAGACACATATTTTGGGTTTCCCATAGCAAAACATGGACATTGTCATTATATTCATATGGGAGACGGGGGTATCATTTAGTGAGCTAATTGTTCACAGTACTTCTAGTTCATTTTGCATGGGAAAAAATAGACTTTATACATTTGAACATAAATGTGCTGTTCCTTGATTGTTTATTGAATGATTGTATATTGTTTAACGCCGAGTCGGCAATTTTTCAGCAAATTGTTTCGGCGGACTATCAGTTTAAATAAACGGTTTTTGAAGGATTTTAGATTCTCTGGCGGCCCCCATGAGCGTACTCTTTTTAGAACACCAGAGAAACGATCTTTTATGTGCCAAGGGGGTTGTCATCCTTGACATGGGGTACCATTTTACTTGAGTGTTCACAATACCAACATTCCGAAGACAGACTGAAACATTTAGCAAATAAAACTGGAATAGAAGATGTTAGGGGATAATGTTAAGTTCTTATAAGTGCTAAAAAGCTGGAATAAAGTGTTCGATCGGACAAGAATTTCTTCAGCTATATTTGATGGTGTGCCAAGGGATGTTGAAGTAGAAATGCTAGCTGATGACAGGATTCAGGAGTGATTTTAGGTGGACGGGTGCTCAAAGGCTTTGGAACACGGTCAAATATGAGGGGGAAAATTTGGAAACTCTTACGTCGAGTTTGTTTTATCTATTTCCAGAAAAAATGAATCTTTTCTAGTTTTCTTGTTTGTTCATATTTAATGGACTAATCAATATACTATATATACTATACATAAAAAAACAAATTGTAATTTATTTTCTGCAAAACGAATCAGAATTAAGGAGTTTGAGTATTTTACGAAATTTGAGTGAATATGGCGTCATTTGGAATCGCCATTTTGAGCTAATTAACATTAAACGACTAAATTTTCCAAATTAAAGTGATAGTATTAGTGTTCTATTGGAAATCTACATATTTGTACTATGCTCAGTAAGATATTCACAGATCCTTTCTCCTATGTAAACGACATTAAGAAATAATTTTTAAAAAATGAATATCCGCTATTTTGAATCGCTACATTGACTCTTAACTTAAAGCTGCACCATCATTTAGTTGTAGAACAGTGAGATGTAGAGGGGAAAAATACAAATCTGCAGTGTATGGATATTTGCAGATGTAAAATCCTGAACAAAGCAGGATTTATAACAATAGACACAAAAATCAGAGAAAATTCGAATTAAGTGTAGAAACGACTAAATTTTCTGAGTTAAATTAATAATGTTAGCATTCTATCATCATTTTTATATTTGTATTACACTCGGTGAGATATTCTCACATTATTTCTCCTTTTTGAACAATATTAAGAGAAAATTAGAAAAATTTGATGTCCACCAATTTGAATCGCCATTTTGACCTCTTGAACGCCATTTTCATGAAGGCCAGCATATTTTTTCGAATTCAGCATACTCGAAATAGGTTAAAAAACTATGCTGGACCAAATAATAATTATTTGCCGTTAGAAGTATTTTTTTTTCTCTAAAAATCGGACCAGACTAATACCTTCACAATTATTTGCAACTCTCCTGTAATTCCTGCAGCACATCAACGGCTCTCTGTGAAAATAAATTAATTTACATAACATGTATATTTACATTAAGATGCATTACATGTAATTAAACAAGAGATCTGAACAAAGGAAATTAAAATTTGGAACATATTTATACAGTTAACTATACTCACTTGCCACAAACACCTCTAAGCGTTGTGATGTTGGTGAAAAATGATAAGAGTAGAAGACACCAAAACATCACGATCTTTAAACTATGCTTCATGTTTTTTCATGTAGGATTATTCAGCAATCCAGTAAATATACTAGTACATGTATTATTGTCTTTAATTAAAAAAGACAAACAAAAACTAATAAACGTTGAATTAGAATTAAGGAAGTAATTGTCAATGATATCATTAAAGTAAATGTTTAATTTATGACTGAAATTAAACTTGGAGCAAATGAAATAAATTAATAATGATAAATCACCTCAAGCGACAAAAGAACAAATACGATTTTTAGCTCACCTGAACTGAAAGCTCAAGTGAGCTATTCTGATCACAATTTGTCTGTAGTCTGTCTGTCTGTAAATTTTTAACATTTTAACGACTTCTTCTTCAGACCCACTATGCAAATTTCAATCACACGTGGCACAAAGCAACCTTGGGTGAAGGGGATTCAAATTTGTGCAAAAAAGGACCAAGTCCTTATTCAATGAGATATAATTAAGAAATAGTGAAAATTGGGAGGCATGTTTAAAAATTCTTCGTCTCAAGAACCACTGGGTATGGAAATATGAAACTAATGTGGAAGCATCCTCAGGTAATGTAGATTCAAGTTTGTTCATATCATGACCCCTGGGGGTAGGGTTTGGCCACAATCGACGACCAAAATTTTACATAGGAATATATAGAAAAATCTTAAACAATCTCCTTCTCAAGAACAGTAAGGCCATGATTGGTCATATTTATATGGAAGCATCCCCAGGTAGTGTAAATTCAAATTTATTCAAATCATGACTCCCAGGGTTTGGGTGTGGCCACAATGGACATCCAAAGTTTTGCATAAGAATTCATGGGGAAAATCTTTAAAAATCTCAAAAACAATAAAGCCATGATTGATATGGTAGCATATGGTAGCATCCGCAGGTAGTGTTAATTGAGATTTGTTCAAATCATGCCCCGGGGGAATGGACGATCAAGCGACCTAAGTTTTACATAGTTTCTTTATAAATAGAAAAGCCATGGCTATTTAGATTCAATCTGTATAATATGTTTTGAATGATAATAATCATTTTTTTGCTTTCAGACAAAGATTACTTTCTTTATGAGCAATGAAAAATGGAAATCTCTCCAAAACTGGTTTTACTACTTGTAAGGAAATATCTACTAGCATTTAATTGCAAAACTGTATTTAGACCGTCAAAAATTCCATACCTGATATTGATTTCAGTTAAGCAGACTTAAGTATAAATGCATATCTTCCCAACTTCTTTAATTCTGTAACCCATTGTTTCTGAGCTGTATATAAGATGATTAAACAAGAGGCCCAAGGGCCACATCGCTCACCTGAGCACTAGGCTAGGAAAAAGTAGAAACTGGTTTATTATTGAAAAGTTTAAATCCAAAAGTAGTCCCATGACCAATCATGACTTTCCTATTCTTGAGAAGACGATTTTTTAAGAATTTTTCTATATATGTCTATGTAAAATTTTGGTCGTCCATTGTGGCCCCGCCCTATCCCCGGGGTCATGATTTGAACAAACTTGAATCTACACTGCCTGAGGATGCTTCCATATAAATATGATTAATTATGGCTGTTATTCTTGAGAAGATGATTTTTAAAGAATTTTTCTATATATGTCTATGTAAAACTTTGGTCGGCCATTGTGGCCCCGCCCTACCCCCGGGGGTCATGATTTGAACAAACTTGAATCTACACTACCTGAGGATGCTTCCATATAAATATGATCAATTCTGGCTTTGCTATTCTTAAGAGGATGATTTTTAAAGAATTTTCTTATATATTTCTATGTAAAACTTTGGACGGCCACTGCGGCCCCGCCCTACCCCCGGGGGTCATAATTTGAACAAACTGGAATCTACACTATTTGAGGATGTTTCCCCATAAGTTTCATCTTTCCTGGTACAGTGGTTCTTGAGAAGAAGATTTTTAAAACATACCGCCAAATTTTCATTAATTCCCAATTATTTTCCCTTGAATGAGGGCGTGGCCCTTCATTTGAACAAACTTGAATCCCCTTCACCCAAGGATGCTTTGTGGCAAGTTTAGTTGAAATTGGTCCAGCGGTTCTTGAGAAGAAGTCGAAAATGTGAAAAGTTTACAACATCAACGACTACGACGACAACGATGACGACAACGACAACAACGACAGACAACAGACAAATTTTGATCAGAAAAGCTCACTTGAGCCTTCGGCTCAGGTGAGCTAAAAACTTACATATAGCACAGGCACATGACAATACTTAGTCGGACTTTCAGGACCGATTTTATACATATCAACGAAAATACACAACATAAGTATTAGAAACTTTTTTTTTTACAAGATTGAAATTTTTCATGCATAGAGCTTTTTTGAAATCAGTAAAGAGAGATCAATGATGAAAATATTGTATTTTCATACAATTAAAACCATTTACTATTTTCATTGAATTTTATACTTACTTAGGCTTTGGTATGTTAGTATCCAACAAATGTCATATCCACTAGTACAATTTAAACTAAACATTAATTATTCAGATTGTTGGATTTTTAATTTGCTTGATTGATGTGTCATGTGTAAAATTAGGTATTAGAGCTAAAGTTGTTTTATGAAAACCAAAAAGGATCTAAAATGATAAACTTCCTCATTACAAATAGTGATTTTTCATCTGTTAAAATTTTAAATTATCAAATATAAAATAAATGACCAGTCTCCGTGATTCTGTAAATAAAATGAGTTCTTCAAGGACAAAAACACTGATCGTAGGACGGGCACATTGTCTAAAAGAAGTAGACAAACTGTATCACCTAATCGCGTTAAACCATGTGTTTTAATCTGGTCCACAGATTAATTCCTAAAAGTTCGAAAACACCAAAGGCATAAAATATAGATAAGTTGTATGTGTTAATAAAGTTATTATTACTCCAGAGTTACGATCTACCGATTTTAATGGAAGTTGTATGGAAAACACTGCATCATCAACTTATTTGCTAGTATCATTCTCATATCACGTTTTTGCAAAAGAAAGCAATTAAGAGACTTACCTGGTAAACATCTTAACAGGAGATATTGGAATGTATTTAAAACATAGTGAAAGTTGACGAAAGAAAAGCTCATCCTGCTTGTTTTGTTTTATTGCTTTGTTACTAACTTGTTATCAAAGAACGTCTTTTATCACTTAAACATCTAGCGTACCCTGTGGTCTCTAATAATATGTGTTTACTAAGATATATTATCTTAACATATGCATGTAAAAGCAAGGGCAAGCATCATAAAACATTGCTAGTTTATCTAAATGTCACAGCTACAGCCAGAGGTTTTCTTTATCTAATATGGAAGTACCCCTTAAAAATTCCAGTAGAGTTTGGAAAATCTGGTCTACAAAGATTACATAAAAATTGTCAGTTAGAAACTCGAACATCATTTTGAAATCAACTTGGGAGTACTTACCTTTATAAACAGATTGATGGTATTTTTGGAAAGTAATGCTGTATATATTCACAAACATATCTAAGTATATAAAAACAAAACAGTCTATTAAGGTAATTCCACCCTCCTATGATGTCATTGGTTTTTGGAAAAAACTGTTATTTCGATAGAATAAATCGACTATGGTTTGGTAGTTTTTTGTCATGGCTTTACATTTAGATCTATACTATAAATTGAGAAATGCATAATCACACAATGAATATATAAAATGATCGATGACTGTTCAATATTTCAATAGTTGCAAAGATCAATAATGTATGAAATGATCAATGAATGTTCAATAGTTCCATAGATGCAAAGATCGATGATATATGTAATGATCAATAACTGTTCAATAGATCAATGAGTTGACAAACAATGGTCTACGTCGACTTTATCAATAGTATATGAAGTAGAATCAATAGCAATGGCACAATGACGGAAGCACAATTATTGGCCACAGATCCTGGAAGATAACAGAACCTGCAGCGTGCTTCAGGCAAAACTCAGCGATATGTCGATATGCAACTGCAGCAGTAGCAAAGAATGCATGTAGACGTCCGCTACAAGCGGGTAAATTTTGCCCATGCCATGACAAAAAGCTGGATTATTTGAAATGCATGACAATTACGAAGAAGGGAAGGGGGGGGGTTTAGACCTGGACATGTTTACAAATAATACTGTACAGACCACACTGTATGCCATTCAAAAATAGAGTTTGGGCTACATCAGACACATGGGTACCATCAGGAAACAAATTCGGTGTACATTGCTTTAAATCTGGGTAATAAAAATAATCTCCATTTCTTGCCAAAATGAAATTTGACAGTGAACTGTTTATTCTAATCTTTTTTTGCAGCTTGGTGTGAAAACATATGCCTTTTATAATTTCTGGGGAGGATTTGAGACCAAATTATTTTACAATGAGGTAGCTTGTACAGAATATTGACAATTGTTAGTTTCATGAACTTTTGGAGATGGCGCAATTACAAAGTCCCAATACTGTTCCACCCACAACATGCACAATGTAACATTAAAACATCAGGATGCCCAAACTGACCGATGAGTTCATATATCTTGGGTTTGACGTCCTCCCAAATCATGCCTCTCTTGCCAAACCAACTTATTGATATGTTGTGGGCCTATAGGTGCAAGTGCTGGTCCGAATAGTTGATAAATGCGTGATGATGGGCATAATGAATTAATGATGATCCAATTAATCCATACTTTAAGCGCACCTGCAAACTTAGTAAACTTGTTAGCACAAAGTACTTGAACGTTGCAAGATGCATTAAACAACAATATTTATATCCGTATGTAAGAGTACATAACATTTGCTTTCCATCCAATCTGACTAAAGCCAGACCTCTATTTACGCTATCGCATAGAGCCTCTATGCGATAGCGTAAATAGAGGTCTGGCTTTAGTCAGATTGCTTTCCATCTGCCTTTTAACTTAATTTCTTCTTCAGGAACCCCCGTTTGGTACAAATGAGCAGTCCCGCCTAATCGAAATGAATGCGATTTAAATACTGGTGTCAAGACCAATAAACTTTATTAATCTACATAAAACTGCGGTAAACTGATATGAAGT